CAATGCCAAGGTAGTACGCCATGAGCCCCATGTCTGTCATCTCGAATTCTTTCATCATCACATCCTTGAATTCATTAAACATGCTTGGGTTGCTTCCAGTGAAGATCAAATCGTCCACGTAGAGGCACACGATCAAAATATCTTCATCTTTGATCTTGATATATAGAGCATGCTCGTAGGGACATTTGTTGAAGCCATTCTCTTGGAAGTACTTGTCGATTCGGCTATTCCATGCCCTTGGTGCTTGTTTTAGCCCGTAAAGAGCCTTCTTCAACTTCAACACCTTGTCTTCATGCCCTTTGACTTCATAGCCTGATGGTTGCTGAATGTAAAGTTCCTCTTCAAGAACTCCATTTAGGAAGGCGGACTTTACATCCATCTGTTGTATCTTCCACTTGTTTTGAGCTGCCAAAGAAATGATTAGTCTGATAGTCTCCAATCGAGCAACAGGAGCAAATACCTCATCATAGTCAATTCCAGCCTTTTGACTATAGCCTTTAGCAACTAGCCTCGCCTTGTGCCTTTCAATCTCTCCTTTGGCGTTTTGCTTTGTTTTGTACACCCATTTGACACCTATCGCCTTATGTTCCTTGGGAAGTGAGGTAAGTTCCCATGTGTCATTCTTCTCGATGGCCTTGATTTCTTCGTCCATCGCATCTCTCCATTTCTTTCTTGTACCGCTTCTTGAAAGCTCACTGGTTCACAATCGGCAAACAGACAAAATAATGTAAGATTATCTTGTCGTTCAGTTACCTCATAGAGATCTCTAAGGCTTCTTGTGCGTTGCACAACTCTTTCACTTTGACTCCCACTTGACGATGATGAAGGTGATGAGTCTCCTTGAGTGGTTGATGTTGGTGAAGTGGGTGGAGTTGCAAGCTCTTGTTGAGATTCATCTAGTTGCTCCCTCATTGTCTGCTCATCTTCTTCAAACTGAGGAAAGAAATTGAAGTCATCTGTATGGGAGTTAAAATCCCATTCTCCTTCTTCGTTGAAGACCACATCTCGACTAATCACAAACTTCTTATTGTCTGGATTGTACAACTTGTAGCCCTTCGAATTAGCATCATAGCCGATGAAGATAAAACTCTCGCTTTTATCATCAAGCTTCGTTCTTCTCTCGTTTGGTACGTGAACATGGGCTATACTTCCAAAGGTTCTCAAGTGGGAAATGCCAGGCTTTCTTCCACTCCATGCCTCTTGCGGTGTCTTTCCCCATACACTTCTTGTTGGAGATCGATTTGACAAGTAGACTGCACACGATACTGCTTCCGCCCAAAATTCTTTGGGTAGTTTCTTGCTTTTGAGCATGCTTCGTGCCATGTCGAGGATTGTTCTATTCTTTCTTTCTGCCACACCATTTTGCTGGGGGGATCTAGGAACTGTCATTGGTCGACGAATTCCATTTGCTTCACAGAACTCTTGAAACTCCCTGGAAGTAAATTCTCCACCTCGATCGGATCTCATGGCTTTGATCTTTCTACCGCTTTCTCTCTCCACTGCTGCTTTGAACTTCTTGAATACTTCAAAAACTTCTGACTTCTGTTTCAAGAAATATACCCAGGTTTTTCTTGAAAAATCATCAATGAAGAGAAGAAAATAGTTATTGTTACCGAGAGAACTTGGCTTGATCGGTCCACACACATCGGTATGGATGAGCTCAAGTGGCTTCTTAGCTCTTGTCTCTGACTCCTTTGGAAAGCTTTTCCTGAATTGTTTCCCGACTAGACACCCTTCACAGAGTTGGTCAGGATGGTTGATGTGAGGTAGTCCTTTCACCATCTCCTTCTTAGATAATAGCTCTAGACCTCCAAAATTGAGATGCCCAAATCGAAGATGCCAAAGCCATGATGCATCTTTGTAGCAAGCTTTCAGGCACTTTGCAACATCATTTTGTATGTTGATCAAGAACATTCTATTCTTTGACATCGGCACTTTAGCAATGAAGTTATTCTTATCATCTTTTATAGAAAGATTATAATTATTCATATGAATATCATAACCTTTCTCTACCAGTTGCCCTAAACTTAAAATGTTACTTTTCATATTGGGCACATAGTAGACATTTGAAATAAATTGATGTCTCCCATCTTTCAAACGGATAAGAATGTTACCTCTCCCTTTCACTGCTATTGTGGAATCATCTCCAAACGAAACATTTCCACTTACTGACTCGTCTAGCTCCACAAACATGTCTTTCCTTCCACACATGTGATTGCTTGCACCACTGTCAAGATACCAGGAATTTGCTTGGCCACCATCAGTTTCCTTTCGTGCTAGAAGAAGAGTTTCTTTGCCATCTGTCTTTTCCTCCACGTAATTGGCCTTCTCCTCAATTTTGTTGTTGGGAGCTCTACATTCTGAAGCATAATGCCCAAATTTTTGACAATTATAACATCGAATTTGAGATTTGTCATACTTTGAGTTTGGATTAATTCTTCCACGGCCTCGTGTTGAGCTTTCTCCTTTCTCATAGTTGTTGTTGGAATTGTTATTGTTGTAATTCCAGCCTCGTCCACGACCTCGACTTCCACCTCGTCCATGGCCTCTACCTCTGCCTTGGCCACGTTGGTTTCTATCATTGCGTTGGCTCTCATGCATATCCTTGAGTTGCAGCTTGAGGAGTTGCTCAGTAAACTCATGCTTCTTTTTATGCTTCTCTTCGTATGCTTGCAATGATCCTTGGAGCTGTTCGATCTTCATTTCTTCCAAGTCTTTAGTTTCTTCAATCGTCACGACGATGTGCTCAAATTTGGGATCCAACGAACGGAGTATCTTCTCTATTATCCTCACATCGTCTAACTTTTCACCATTTCTTTTTAATTGATTAGAAACAGCAACTACTCTTGAGAAATAATCTGAAATAGACTCAGATGCTTTCATGTTTAAGGATTCGAATTCACCTCTTAATGTTTGGAGACGAACCTTCTTCACTTGCTCGGATCCTTTGTAAGAGGTTTGCAGCTTCTCCCACGCTTCCTTGCTAGAGCTTGCACTTGAAATCTTTTCAAAACCATCATCATCTAATGCTTGATAGATGAGGTAGAGAGCCTTCTTGTCTCTCTTTCTTGAATCCTTCAAAGTTGTCTTTTGATCTGGTGTAAGAGTAGCAAAAACATCATCATCCGCAGGCTCATTATAGCCTTTCTCTATGATATCCCACACATCTTGTGATCCAAGAAGTGCCTTCATTTTGATACTCCAATTGTCGTAGTTGTTGTTGTTGAGTGTCGGAACTTGGAATGGTGCCATACCATTTGCCATATCTCTCAATATAATGAGATTTTGTAAAATCCGATTGCACGGATGAATCCGGAACGATGAAAAAAAAAAAACTTTGGAGGGACTTGGACACCTCGGTCAAGAGCTCCAACTCGGCTGAATCGGCTCAACTCGGTGAGTCAACTCGATTTTCTGGCAGCAGTCTTCCGGCGGTGCGTGGCGGTGCGTCAGAACTCAGATTGAGAAAATTCTGGCAGCGGCGTATTCCTCTCGTCGAGACCTTCGATCTTTCCAACTCGCTCTGATACCACTTTGTTGGAAATAAAACGCTCACACAAACAACTTTTATTGAAACTTAAACAAATATTACAAGAGTACTCTCACTCAAAAACAAGAACTACAACTCACTCTTATAAGACTTTGCTTCTTCACTCACTTAGAAGCTCTTAATTTTTCTTGATGCTTAAAACTAAAATGGGAAGGGGTATTTATACTACTCAAGAACAATCCTACACCAGACAAATAAACTAATTTAAACCATTACAAATTCAACAAATATCTAACTCTCACCTAACTAAATTGATGTAAGCAATGACATCATTAATTAAATGATGTAAGCAATGACATCTTTAATTAAATGATGTAAGTAATGACATCAATTTAGTTTGGGTTTGGGTTTAGGCTCCCATAATGGATCAAGTTTATGATCCAACAGCTTTCGAGTTTGTTCCTTTCGGATGTGAATCATCGAACTGATCCGATCCAAGTGTGGCTACGGTCGGGTGATGCTCGCCGTATCCAAACGCTACAAGATATATCGACAAGTAAAAGATAGCAACACCGAGTGGTGGTGGAGTGGTGCAGACTCTTATCCCATCACCACAATCAGCTGGGTTTTATCAGAGAGGAAATAGTCCAATATATACAGGAGAATTAACGTACAAAGATTGGAAATTTTACTTTATTTTATGAATATTTCGGCTCAGAAGAAGAAGATATGCATTGAATATAGATGAGTGTATGCCACATATATTTTAAATCATTTAAAACATGAAATTTTATTTTTCATTTGAAAGTGACATTCCATCACTAATATTATAATTTTATATTCTCAATGTTCGTAATAACATGAATATCATTATTACACTTTGGATCAATTGGTACAAATTCTTTTATCTTAATCAAAATTCCGATCTCGAGAATATAACCGTGTTAAATATTTTATCATAATCAAATCTAATTTTATATCTTTTTCATATTGGTTTATATGGTTAGTTGACAATATAGTTTAAATATATTGATTTTCTATACGGTTATTAAAAACCAGTAAAACAAAGGCATATATGGTGTCTGCTTTGGGGCAATAAGATCACACACACTGAACTAAAACAAACTGCAATTTATAGTTAAAAGTATCTAACAGATGGAGGCGAAGTAAATAATTTAAGTTGAACAACATCTTATTGCCTACATTAAGAATCAAAACTCATTCACTTACAGAATTTGTTTCAACTTGATTATCCTGTGTGTTAATCAAACAATATTATGGAAGTTGATCAAATCTGGTTTCTAACCTCCAATTTTCACTGGAAAAACATAACTCCCTGGGATTTTAAGTTAAGTATATGGTTTTAACTTAATCGCCTACTTCTATTATGATTGTTGGTAACCCGATTCATCTTTAAAATTCAAAACCTGCCAGTTTCACTATCATTTTCTCCCTCAAATCTCTCCTGGGTTTTTTGAATCTAGAATTTCCCTAACCTTTGATCTCTTGCCTGCATATATATTTTCTTTAAGACCAATCTCTAATGGTGGAAGATGATTCGAGCATCGTTTTGAGCACTAAATTGGCTGTTCTGGCTGCAGAAACCTCGGATTCCGGCGACAGCAACTACAAGCTTCGCCCCAGCAAACGTGCCAGGCATGATCACGGTGCGTCGTTAGCAAGGTTCAAAGGTGTCGTCCCGCAGCAAAATGGGCATTGGGGTGCGCAGATATACGCCAACCATCAGCGGATATGGCTCGGGACGTTCAAGTCCGATAGAGACGCAGCCATGGCTTACGACAGCGCTGCCATAAAGATACGTAGCGGCGACACGCATAGGAACCTCCCATGGACCGATCTCAACATCAAAGAATCGGACTTTCAGAGCCTTTATTCGACCGATGATGTATTGAACATGATCAGGGACTGGTGGTATCAAGCCAAGTTGGAAGATTTCGTCAAGATCTTGTCTAAAAAGGATGGGAAATTGATCAGTAATCTTAACAAAAAGCTTGTGCATGGTGATACACAGTTCTCATGCATGCAACTTTTTCAAAAGGAATTAACACCAAGCGATGTCGGCAAGCTTAACAGGCTCGTGATCCCTAAAAAATACGCCGTTAAACACTTCCCTCACATTTACGAGACCGATCAACAAAGTCTGGTGGGTGGGGACGAAGACATCGAGCTTGTCTTCTATGACAGGTTAATGATGACATGGAAATTTCGATACCGCTATTGGAGGAGTAGCCAAAGCTTTGTCTTCACTAGAGGCTGGAGTCGATTCGTGAAGGAGAAGAAACTCGGTGAGAAAGACTCTGTGACATTTTACGCATGCGAGTGCCCTGGTGGGAGTCAAAATGGCAGAAACTTCTTCCTCATCTATGTGGATTACAATGGTGAAAGATGTTGCATCGATGAGGGAGATTGTTGGGAAATAAAACGAGAACGAGTAATTTTCCTATAACCAGATTAGTGAGAATTCGAAATAAAAGTGAAAAAATAATACTCGAAATTGATAACGAATTTCAGCCAATTATGCCTACGTCTCTGGACTACTGCAGATCTTTTACTAAAGAGATAAAATTTACAGGTATTTACAAAACACTCACTACTCACAAGAAAACTCTCTAGTATTGAGAGAAAGAAATGATTTGAGATGATTTTGAAGCTAAATGAGTTAGGGTATTTATAGTTGAAGCTTAATGACTAATATTTGTAAATACCCTAAAGTCCAGGGACTAAAAATAATTTTCTCATGCCTAAAAATCAACAAAATTCAGCCCCCCATTTTTATTTTCAAACAGCCGGCTGCCAAGGAATTTAGCAACCCATGTACTTTTGAATTTTCAACAATCTCCCACTTAAAGCTGTTGTCAGTCAAAGTGTGAAAGGTTAGGCAAGAAATTGTTTCTTGCTCCAAACTTCCTCTGGTATTCCGCCATCCAAAGGAACTGAGGGCCCACGGTTGATCATGTAAGCTATAGTGTTAATAGCTTCAGCCCATAGCAATTTGGGCAATCCGGCATGTATCCTCATGCTTCCGGCACGTTCAAGACATTGTTCTGTTCATGCGCTCTGCTATGCCATTTTGTTGCAGTGTCATGGGAACTGTTGTCTCCATCTTGATCCCATTGTTTGCGCAGAAATATCTAAATCTACTATTTCTGTACTCTCCTCCATTGTCAGACCTCAACCGCTTGACTTTTAGATCAGTCTCATTTTCCACCATGGCCTTCCATTTTCTGAAGGTATCAAAGACTTCTGATTTCTTCTTCAGAAAATAAACACACACATTCCTTGTAGAATCATCGATGAAGGTGACATAATATAGTGAGCTTGCAAGACATGGAAATGGAGATGGTCCCCATACATCAGTATGAACCAACTTTAACTTTTCAGCCTTGGGTTTCTTGTCAATCTTTGCAAAACTGACTTTCTTTTGTTTGCTAAAGATGCAATCCTCGCATAGTCCGACATCTACACTCTTTAGATCCGACAGCTTCCCTTTTGACAAAAGTGTCTTCATCCATTTCTCGCTCATATGGCCAAGCCTTTGGTGCCATAGGTTTGATTTTCCATCAGTATCTGCTACTGCAATGATATTCTCTAAATTTGAGGTTACATAGAGAGTATCAGTCTTCTTTCCACGAGAAATGACGAGTGCTCCTTTGGTTATCTTCCATTCACAGCCTGCAAAGGTTGTACTATAACCTTCTCCATCAAGCTGTCCTACAGAAATCAAATTTCTTTTGAGGCCAGGAATATGTCTCACTCCTTTCAGCGTCCAGGTGGTCTGGTTTGGCAGCTTTAATCGGATGTCTCCTTTTCCGAAGATCTTCAAGGTTTCATCATCAACTAGATGAACCTTCCCAAAATCACCACTGACATAGTTCTCCATGATTTCTTCTGATGGGGTGGAGTGTAAAGATGCCCATGAATCCAAGATCAATGATTCAATCGGACTGTTGACGCTTAAAATCATGACATCACCTGTCTCCTCTGTCATGTTGGCAGATTCCTGTGCGCCGATATATTTCTTTGGTGTTCGACAATCTCTTTTAAAGTGACCCTTCTTGCCATAATTATAATAGGTAAAATCTTTCTTTCCCATTCTTGATTTTCCCCTTCTAGATTTGGATCTGTCACGATTTGAATTTCTTTATGAAGTTCTCCCTCTAGACTCCGTGTGCAAGGCTGAGGAGGTTGATGCTTCCCGATTCTTTTCGTCGAATTTATTCGTTCAATACCAGATCCCGAACATCGTCAAATTTTAATTTGCTGTTTCCCAGCGAGCTGCTGACTGCTGTAACAGTAGCATTCCAACTGTCTGGTAGAGATGATAAGAGAATTAAAGCTCGAACTTCATCATCGAATTCAATTTCCACTGAACTCAACTGAGTTGTGATTGTGTTGAGTTCATTTAGGTGTTGAGCCACTGATGTCCCTTCCGCCATCCGCAAACTGAATAATTGTCTCATCAAGTGAACTTTATTTGAGGCTGATGAATTCTCATACATACTGGAGAGAGCCACTATAAGACTCTCCGTAGTCTTTTTCTTTGCTATGTTGAAAGCAGCATTGCGGGATAAAGACAGACGGATAACTCCGAGGGCTTGTCTGTCGAGAAGAGCCTAGTCTTCATTCTTCATGCCCTCTGGTTGCTTTCCTGAGAGATGTTGATATAGATTTTTCTGGTACAGAAAATCTTCAATTTGCATCTTCTAAAAGCCAAAGTCTGCACCATCGAACTTCTCAATTTTCGCCTCCCCTTCTTCTGCAGCCATCGCTTCCACTCGAATCTGACTTCTTTGGATCGTTTCTTACAATTTCTGCGAACCATCGTGTATTAGAACACCTCCGTCGACAAATTCGTATCGCCGATAAAATTTTTACTATTCACGAAATTCACTATTCACATGAATATTAATGAATAGCAACCTTCAAAAAAAATGACAAAATTAATAACCAAAAACTCTGATACCAGTTGTTGATAAATAAAACGAGAACGAGTAATTTTCCTATAACCATATTAGTGAGAATGTGAAATAAAAACGAAAAAATAATACATGAAATTGATAACGGAGTTCAACCAATTATGCCTACGTCTCCGGACTGCTGCAGATCTTTTACTAAAGAGAGAAAATTTACAGGTGTTTACAAAACACTCATTACTCACAAGAAAGCTCTCTAGTATTGGGAGAAAGAAATGATTTGGGATGATTTTGAAGATAAATGGATTAGGGTATTTATAGTTAAAGCTTAAGGATTAATCTTTGTAAATACCCTAAAGTCCAGGGACTAAAAATAATTTTCCCATGCCTAAAAATCAACAAAATTCAGCCCCCATTTTTATTTTCAAGCAGCATGCGATCAAGGAATTTAGCAGCTCATATGCTTTTGAATTTTCAATAGAGATAAGAAAATGACTAACACTAATACGTTGGAAGCATCGGCGCTGGAGTTGGAGCTGAACATGGGGAAGAAGAATTACAGTAAGACTAGTAGTGAGTTGAATGAAGATAGAGTGGTAGATGGATTGGAATCGGGTCGTAATGTAAAGAAGAAAAGTATTACTCTTTTCGGAGTACAGATTAAATGATGAACATATAGGTCTAACAAGTGAGTTCCATGCTGCTTTGTTATTTTTAGTTGGTTTTTGATGTATCCAGACAATTATAATGTATATAATCCCAGGAATTAAAACAACTAATTCCTGGGTTAGGAACTTACACTACGGTTGAAGAATAATTAAGAACTAACCAATGAAGAATACATCAAAGTCTCCTAATTTTAGTATTAATGTACTTGATGAGAATATATATATTAGTATATGGAGTTTTAGAATTTCTTCTCTTCTTCCTTTGATAATAAATTATCCGGTCAAACGACAGGCAATAGTGCTTACTATTGGATAAACTCTTTGTATATATTAAGTTGGTTTTATCAAGTATTTCTTGCAAGAGTTTTTACTACTTCCACGATAATAATATAAATTTAACCAAAAAAAAGTATATTGTGCTATAGAAACGGTTGATTGATCTTTCTTTTGACTACTTTCAACAAAAACAAAATCTCTTTGCATTGGCTCTCTGTGCCTCTCAAAGGTGACCAGCTCTTATTCTTCTTAGTCTCCAACATTTTATGCTTACATAGAAATATAATTTTCAAAAAAAAGAGTTCTTTCTTTTTATTCTTCAGTTAAGAGGGCATTTGTTGCTGGTGTTGCCGATGAGAATGGTTATGGCTGGGCGACAGCAAAATCTCTTGATGCTGCAGGTGCTGAAATACTAGTGGGAACCTGAATTCCTGTAAGAGAATTAGGATTTATTTTGATGTTCCTGATAAACAATGCAACATGCTGACCATGGAGTTCTCCTTGTAGGCTTTGAACACATTTGAAACCAGCTTGCGAAGGGGAAAGTTTGATGAATCAAGCTTGTAAGGGTCGGTTACATGTTATAATACCGTTGGATACTTCATGAATTAATAATTACTGTTTTCTGATGGAAGCTGATGTTTCAGATTGCCAAATGACTCTTTAATGGAGATTACAAAAGTATATCCCCTAGATGCAGTCTTTAATAAAACTGATGATGTACCTGAAGATGTAATGGATAAGTTCATGCCCTCTCTGGAGATTTTACATGCTGAGAAGTTTAGATATCTTCGTAACACTTTCTATCTCGATTGTTTCATGCAGATAAAAGCAAATGAGCGATATGCAGGACCCTCAAAGTGGACTGTTCAGGTATCTGCAAACGTACCCGCTAAATTTTCATCTTTGGAACTTTTAGTGTCTAAAATTTGACTCATTTGCATTCATGATTATGTTACTATGTATTCCAGGGTTTCAAAAGCGTTGACATTCTTGTGCATTCACTAGCTAATAGCCCTGAGGTATAGGAGTTCCAAGCTTCCAGTTGCTAATGGTTTCACCTTTATTTCTCTGTTCTTAACTAGCAATTGTTTGTTAACAGGTCATTAAACCTCTTCTGGAGACATTCCGGAAACGATACCTTGCCAGTTTTATCTGCTTCAAGACCATGTTTCATTACTCAAGCACTTTCTCACATTAATGAATCCAGACGCATCTTTCGTCACTTCCAGTCTTATTTGCTGAACCTGTTCTCTTGATTTCTTATCATATAATAAACATGACTAAGTACTCACATATGTGCTTCTGAAATAAACTATTGCCATTTCCGGAGGTTCCTCAATTCTCTTACATGCATTGCTTCTTAGCGAATAATTCCAGGGTATGTTTTCTATATTTGGTTTGCTTACTATTCCGAAAACGGAATGAATACTCATTAGGAAACGGAAGTCTCAAACAACATCATATGCAGATATGGTGGAGGTGTAAGTTCTGCTAAACCTGCTCTAGAAAGTGACCCGAGAGTGAGTTGTAATTTGTTTCTAATTGTCGATGTAACTTGACTGCATATTCAGTTTCCCAGATTCGCCATGTTTATGTTTCTCTCATTAATTTTCAGGTACTGGCTTTTGAAGCAGGAAGAAAACACAAAATTCGGGTCAACGCAACATCTGCCGGTAAGAGCAGCTTGCACTCTTGTATTTTGAGACGTTTCTTTTGAATTCCAATGGCATTTCATTCCTTGAAATATGTCAACAAAGTGAAATTCTTGGAACACATTTGGTTATCCATAACTATATGCTTCTCATGGACAGGTCCTCTAAGATATCGTGCTGCAAAAGCAATCGGATTTTTCGACACAATGATTGAATACTCAAAGGCCAATGCACCTCTCCAGAAAGAACTATCTGCAGGTGGTTCCGAGGAACTACTAAGATTTCGATTGTTCTATTTTGTTAACTTCTTTTATTTAATGAATCACATGGATACTGAATAAAAGAATTTGACAAAACAGACGAGGTGGAGAACACTGCTGCCTTCTTTTGCTCAAATCTTTCGAAAAACATGCCTCTCTGAAGTTGTTGCATCATCTAAAAAAATGGAGGTTTTAAATTTATCTGTCTTCACTGATTTTGTTCGTGGATTAAAAAACAATCAGAAATTATCGAAGACTTTGTCCATTAGATACATTGAAGTGTAAAGAGTATTAGCAACAGTAGCTTTATAAGGTGAGGACTGAGGAGTGGGGACAGGTTTGAATTTCACTTTGGCTGAGCCCAAGGCAATTTAGGAAGCCTGGTTTTTATATGCTTCCCTTCGCTTGTAAAGGTAAAAGCTTTTTTTAGTGCTAGTTCTAGAACAAATTAGTGAATCCCCCCCCCCCCAACTATCCTATGCTTTATATTTAAATGTGAACGCTTGACTGGATTCTTATTACAGGCTAAGTTAAAGGCAAATTAGTGAGTTTGTTGCTCTCTGTACTTCAAGTTGCTGACAATTATTTTTTGTACAGGTTTTTTATTAATGTTTTTCCCTTAAGAGTGGAAGTTATTGATGTGTGTGGATTTGGTGCAGATTTGTTGCAGAATACGTCTGATAATTTTGATATTTTCTTGGGTCATTTTTGTTAAAAGTTTCAAAGTTTGGCAACCAACTTTGGAAAATATTTTTTTCAAAGTTTGGTAAATGTTTCTTTGAAAAATGTTTTTCAAAATTTGGTAAAATTTTGGTAGATGTTTGTTGAAAATAGGAATAGGTAAATTCACTTTAGTCATTGCACTTTATGGTATTTTCAAATATTAGTCCCTAAGTTTCTACTATAAATACCCTTACCCATTTAGCTTCAAAATCATCTCAAAACATTTCTTTCTTCCTATACTAGAGAGCTTTCTTGTGAGTAGTGAGTGTTTTGTAAACACCTGTAAATTTTCTCTCTTAGTAAAAGATCTGCAGCAGCCCGGAGACGTAAGCACAATTGGCTGAACTCCGTTATCAATTTTCGGGTATTATTTTTCCGCTTTTATTTCGCATTCTCACTAATCTGGTTATAGGGAAATTACTTGTACTCGGTTTATTTTCTTAACAACTGGTAATCAGAGCTTTTGGTTGTGAATTTTGTCAATTTTTCTGTGAGGTTACTATTCATTACTATTCACGTGAATAGTGAATTTCGTGAATAGTGAAATTTCGGTCGGCGATACGAGTTTGTCGACGGTGGTGTTCTAATACACGGTGGTTCGCAAGAATTGTCAGAAACGATCCAAAAGAAGCCAGATTCGAGTGGAAGCGATGGCTGCAGACGAAGGGAAGGTGAAAATTGAAAAGTTCGATGGTGCGGACTTTGGCTTTTGGAAGATGCAGATTGAAGATTTTCTGTACTAGAAAAATCTTTATCAACCTCTCTCAGGAAAGCAACTAGAGGGCATGAAGAATGAAGACTGGGCTCTTCTCGACCGACAAGCCCTCGGAGTCATCCGACTGACGTTGTCCCGAAATGTTGCTTTCAACATAGCAAAGGAAAAGACCACGGCGGGTCTTATGGCGGCTCTCTCCAGTATGTATGAAAAACCATCGGCCTCAAACAAAGTTCATTTGATGAGGCGATTATTCAATTTGCGGATGACGGAAGGGGCATCGGTGGCACAACACCTAAATGAACTCAACACAATCACAACCCAGTTGAGTTCAGTGGAAATTGAGTTCGATGATGAAGTTCGAGCTTTAATTCTCTTATCATCTCTACCAGACAGTTGGAATGCTACTGTTACAGCAGTCAGCAGTTCGTCGGGAAACAGCAAATTAAAATTCGACGATGTTCGGGATCTGGTACTGAGTGAAGAAATTCGACGGAAAGAATCGGGTGAAGCATCAACCTCCTCAGCCTTGCACACGGAGTCTAGAGGAAGAACTTCAGAAAGATATTCAAATCGTGGCAGATCAAAATCTAGACGGGAAAAATCTAGAACGGGAAAGAAAGATTTTACCTGTTATAATTGTGGCAAGAAAGGTCACTTTAAAAGAGATTGCCGAGCACTGAAGAAAGATACTGATGCACAGGAATCTGCCAACGTGACAGAGGAGACAGGTGATGCCATGATTCTAAGCGTCAACAGTCCAATTGAATCATGGATCTTGGATTCAGGGGCATCTTTCCACTCCACCCCATGCCAAGAAATCATGGAGAACTATGTCAGTGGTGATTTTGGGAAGGTTCATCTTGCTGATGATGAAACCTTAAAGATCGTCGGAAAAGGAGACATCCGACTAAAGTTGCCAAACCAGACCACCTGGAAGCTGACAGGAGTGAGACATATTCCTGGCCTCAAAAGAAATCTGATTTCTGTTGGACAGCTTGATGGAGAAGGATATAGCACAACCTTTTCAGGCTGTGAATGGAAGATTACCAAAGGAGCACTCGTCATTGCTCGTGGTAAGAAGACTGGTACTCTCTATGTAACCTCAAATTTAGAGAATATCATTGCAGTAGCAGATGCTGATGGAAAATCAAACCTATGGCACCAAAGGCTTGGCCATATGAGCGAGAAAGGGATGAAGACACTTTTGTCAAAAGGGAAGCTGCCGGATCTAAAAAATGTAGATGTCGGACTATGCGAGGATTGCATCTTTGGCAAACAAAAGAAAGTCAGTTTTGCAAAGATTGGCAAGACACCCAAGGCAGAAAGGTTAGAATTGGTTCATACTGATGTATGGGGACCATCCCCAGT